TACAATTACATGTAACTTGGTAAAGTAATCAGGATACAAAGATCCATTACAGTTGGTGATAAAAAATGGGGATTATTTAGCAGGATTGCAATTTTAAAATAAATCAGTTTTTCTTTAAAAACACAGAGCTGATGTGTTTTAGGTCTTCTAAGGTTACATTGTCATCAATACTTCTTATTGATATTTATTTTCTCTTGTTTTTATTTGCATATTTAGTGTTGAGGTAATCCAAAAGTACCGGGAAGTAATTAAGTTACGTTACTTTAATACTGTTATACTTGTACTAGGTTACTGAGTACTTTTTTAAAAAACAGGCAATTAGTAACTGTATCAGATTACATTTTAACCCTCCCAACCCTGTTTAAATTATATTATTAAGTGTTTAATATGTTGACCTCACTGGATTAAAACAACCTGAAATCCTCCCAGTTACACTGATAAAGTAATTAAATAACTAGATTAACGTTACATTTCCATTGAGCAGAACTAACGTTAGCTAACGTTAATCTCCTCAAACAACAACGGATCCACTTCGAGCATAAGACACAAAATGGCTGACGGATCATTAAAAACGTTATTCTGAGCCGGATGTGAGTAAAATTACACACATTTGGATTTTCTATTTAGCTAAATTAATTAAATAATTAATTTTGTAACTTGCGCGTTCAAAAGTTTAACTTTTTAAAGACCAGATAAGTTCACTCGTATAACATTAGATTAGTTTTATTGCAATTTATCCGAAAGAGAAGACTAACGGCCGAACGTTGGGGATGATGTCATCAACGGCTATGCACCTGCAGTTGAGCAGCTGGCACGAGACACGCGCACGCACACAGTGGGGTCAGAGTGGCGCGAAAAAGGAGGCGTTTGCTTAGCAACCTTTAAAAAATAAAAAAATAATAATAATCAAAAATAAAATAAAAGCACCATAATTGTTTATAAATTAGATTTAGATACTATAATAATAATAAAAATAATAATAAAAATAATAATAATGATAATAAAAATGAATGCCAGTACAATAATTTATCATATTTGAGCTGCATTGGGTTTCAAATTAATAACAAGAACAACATTTTATAATAAACAAATGAATAAAACTAAGATATGAGATGAGATAATGAATTAAGTTAAACAACGGTATGTAATCTAATTAAAATATAATGTAATATTTAGAGCTGAAACAGTTTGATTATGATAATCAATTCATAGTTGCAGTAACTTTTAACATTTTCTAGTTAGAGCTTCTTCAATGTGAGGATTTTCTTGGTAGTTTATGAAATATAAATT